TCGAATCTCGGTAACCTTAGCAGCAGGCGCAGATCCCTGCGCTGATCCCAGGTGTACTTGAGGACACTCGGCCTTCCGATGGCCTGTCTGGTTGCAATGGAAGCAAACCATAAATCCTTTCGGGTAATCCCTGGCGATATGCCCCTCCTTTCCACATTTGTAGCAAGCACCCGATCGACAGGCCCCCTCATGACCCTTGCTGCACTTCCCGCAAGTGCGACCCTTCTGGACTCCCGTCCTCGAATCGGCGGACTTGGTCCGCTTGGCTGCCGGATGAGACTGAGCCGGCAGCCGATCCATCCTCTGAGACTCAGCCTCCTCCCTGGCCTGAGTCTCCAAATCAATCTCCCTCTTTCAGGAATTTGCTTGGAGCTCAGTAAATGTCTGGTATGTCGAGTTCGACACGAACTCCCGAATGTCCCTCCTCAAAATACCCAAATATCGGCTCATCCGTGCATGCTCAGTAGACACCTGCTCAGGGTAGAACATCGCCCTCTCATGAAACTTCCAAGTGACCATAATAACCAAATCATTACCTGCTTGAGGGTCAAGAACTCCTGAATCATTTGTTCCCTCTCCACCGTGGGAGCATACTCGTCTCTGAACATGGTGGTGAACCTCTCCTAAGTCACTGCTGAAATCTCTGCAAGAGTGAAGTTCGATGTCACAAACTTCCACCAATCCTTCGCTCCTAGGCGAAGCTGGTTCAAAGTGAACCATACCCTCAGATGCTTCGAACATGAACACGTATAGAAGCATCCCTCAATGTCAGCAATCCATCTCATTGCAGCGATCGGATCCTACGTCCCATCAAACTCAGGTGGCTTCGTGTTGCTGAACTCCCGAAACAACAACGAGTCACCTCCCTGAGGTCTGGCAGCAGCCACAACTGTTGTAGCTGCAGCGGCTACAACCTCAGTCACTGCGGCATATCGCTCATCAAAAGTCTCCAACAGTGTGGTCTTGATAGACCCAAACATCTCCGGAAACTCTACCCTGATTGCCGCAGCCACCTCATCGTGGATCATCTAACGAAGCTCCTCGTCACTCACACTGCTCTCCCCAGGTCTGTGGCGTGTCCCAATCATAATACCTCTGAAATACAACATAAAAATATCAGAGACTCGATCGAGCATACTCGCACTCGATAACGCAACCCTACTCGACCTCCAATACCCAAAGGATTCTTACTTGGGCTGCCCACTGATCTGGTGTCTTCAGTAGTACGGGCCCTATACTACTGATTACACCGCATCAGCATTCACCCCAAATCCTCCTCCTTGGATCCCGAAACGCAATTACTCTATTTACGCTATGCATTGCCTACCTACTCGCTATCAAGGCATCTCATAGCAGTAGGATTCTCTTAGACTAAGGCATCACAAATCAGGCCACTCTAGTCCTAATATGAATACCTAGTCTACTCTAGCATGCATAACATATCATAGCATGTCTCATAACACATATTGTAAGGGTATTTCGGGGATTTACTGTTCGGACGTTGGCTGACCGTATACACTGTTCATTTTTTGGTTATCTCAAAACCTCTTATAAAACTTTGTTTTTTTTTTACTATTGGAAAATTTTTCTCAAATCCTCAATTTGAGTTCAGTTACGCCCGAAGGTGCACCCGAATCCCTCAAACCAAGGCTCTGATACCAACTTGTAACAACGTAAATTTTAAAAAAGATTTTTCATTTTTCAAACAATATAAACCATCATATAATATTCTCAAATCTCATGTTTAGCAAATGTCATCATAATAAATATACATCCCAAGATCATAAAATAAATCTTCTGTCAGTGTGTACAGATCATGTCAACGCCTCCCCACGGTCCTCGCTAGTACCTGAAACCCATAACACAACAACTGTAAGCATAAATGCTAAGTGAGTTCCCCAAAATACCACTTACACACATACGCCCTTCCAGGCCATGACCTTCCGGTCCATGTGTCTCAGGGGACTTCCGTCCCAACCCAGTAAACCTTCTGGTCCTACCCGTGTCGACCTTCCGGTCCACGACTCCCTGACCTTCCAGTCCACATATGCCTTCCGGTCCATAACAAGCATAGCATACATAGCACATACAAAACGGTCAACTAATCACATACAATGCATACATCTTATAGCATATCCGACCTTCCGGTCACACATAGGTACCCTTCCAGGTACAGTATAGTGAGAAGACTCACCTCTGATATCTCGATAAATCACTGACTCGGTAAAAGACCATTTTACCCCTCTTCTGGCTCCCATAAATATACTATACTCCAACCTTTCTTAACATCCTCAGAAGGGTAAAAGACCATTTTACCCCTCTTCTGGCTCAAAAGGCCTCACTGCTAACCAAACCCTAAAAGTCAACCAAAGTCAACGGTCAAACTTTGACCCGACTCGGCGAGTGCACTTGGGCAACTCGGCGAGTCCACCTGTGTCCACTTAACTCCTTAATCCCATTTAACACGTCGAGTCCCTCCCTTTACTCGATGAGTCCCCAGGCAAGAATCACGGGGCTACCTTGACTCAACTCGGCGAGTCCCAAGAACAAATCGGCGGGTACATGCCATGCACAAATTCTATTGACCTCCTGAGGTCAGATCTGTTCCTCAAATCCATAGATCTGAACTTCCCAAGCAATATGATCACGTAAAGCTTGAAACTTGATGCTTATATATATACATAATGGCATCAAATGGTGATTTAGTCCCAAAAATGGCAACCTAAGTCCAATCACCCCACAAGGACTCATACAGCTTAATGGATTGAAGTCTCTGGACCTCTTTGAGTCCAGATCCAAAGCATAGACTCGATAAGGGACCAATTGCTCCACATAAACATCCTCAAAAGAGGTTAGAAAACCCTAATCTCTAAGTTCAATACCAAAACTGAAGAAGGTCCGAATGAATACCTCAAGTTGAAGTCTCTGGACTCTGAAACCACTTGAATCACACCTCCTTCAGTCTCCTCTTGCTCTTGATCACCTTCTTTTTGCCAAACCAAGGATAGAAAGATCAATTGTAGCTTATCCTTCCTCCCAAACGATATAGATCACTAAGGGTGCTCTCAAGGGACTGGTAGCCGCAATGGAAGGCTAAGAGTACCCTTAAATAGGCTCCAACCCCGGAGGATTAGGGTTTCATTAAACAGCGTGGACTCGCCGAGTCCACTCATGGACTCACCGAGTCCAATGCAAACCCGGATGATCAACCACGACCCTACTCGGCGAGTCTACGCATCAACTCGTCGAGTTCCTTCACATAATCCAAAAAAATAAATATTAAAATAATATACCTGGGATTCCGGATGTTACAATTATTGTCAATTTGTTTAAGTTTAAATAACAAACTATGTTGACCAAGTCTATTATTGTCAATTTGTTTTAAGTTTAAAGGTAATCTCCTTAATATTTGACTTAAACCACTGATTTTGTTATTCCACAAACAAGTTTTTATAACAATATTTTTTTTATTGTTCTTAATAAACTATGTTGACCAAGTCTATTATTGTTAATTTATTTTAAGTTTAAATAACAAATTATATTTACCAAGTTTATTATTGTCACTTTAGTTTAAGTTTAAAGGTAATTTCGTTATGACCAAGGGTATAATTATCAATACGAGCACATACTCTATAAATTTTAATTTCTTTCATGAATCTTATATTCTTATTTATACAGATTATCATTCCAATTATACCGTCAGTCATAAACACTTTCCCAAATAATTATATGTGTATTTATCATGTTTCAATAAACATTTATGATTAATTCGTTTAATAAGTCATTATTATCTTTAAATCTTTTCAAGATCATATATCCTTATCAATTTAGAAACAATCATTTAATTTAATCTTATTAAGAAGATATAATTCATCTATTTTTGATATATTTTTATTTAATATAAAATCATGACACATGCTTTTCAATTATATCTTTACATTTGTTAACCAATTTTACTTCGTTATTATCTTTACTAATATTCTTTAATTCCATTATTTGTATAATTATGAGGACTGTTATAAATGTTTCAAAACTCTATATGCTAGAGGTATTGGCAAAATTGTTATTTCCATATGTTTAACAAATGGACATTGTTTACTTTTGATTTATTACCATATTACATTAGACAAGCCTCACAATTGCAGATTTATAATTTTTTTAGATTGTTATACTAATTATTTTAAATTAATATATACTTTTATTTTAATATTTGATATATGTTATGTATGTTAGGACATCTAATATAGTTAGGCCCTATAGAACATAATATAATTTTAAAATCCATTTATAGGTTAAAATTTGTGTAATACACATGTTGATAACATAAATGAGCAAAAATAACAATGTACTTTGAAAGTATGTTGCTATAAATAACAGAAATTGTTCATGTTACTATTTTTTGTTAATAATTTTTTATAGTTTTTAGAACTCAATAAAATTATATATTTCGGGACATAACCCTAAAATAACAATCAAAATTATATAGGTTTTGTTCATAACCCTAAAATAACAAAGTATACTTTGAAATTAAGAAAATAATAATAATAGTATTTAAATAATAAATTTCAAAGATGTTTGTATGTTTTTATGCGTTCGTCCGCATTTAACACAGGTTATAATCTAGTTTGGACCAAAATCGATATTTCATAATAAGGACCAATATTGAGAAAGAAAACTTTTGGCATCAAATCTATAAAAATAAGCTGTATTCAAGGACCAAAACTGTAATTTACTCTTAAACCAAAGTTGAGACGTGCGTATTTCCATAACTTCTTTGCAAGCACCAAGACTACCAATATTGACTATCCAACAACTACTAAGTCGCATGTGGCGGCTCAAAGATTAATTAAATATTTTTTCGATATGTATCAGTATATATATGCCTAAAGTAACTAACCATTCTAGATCACCACAGAGGCCTTGCAATATCTCAGAGAGTTTCTATACAATTACCTTCTTCAAAAATCAAACTGAAAAAGTTCTCTAATATCAATTGAATTATGGGTTCCGGTGGGCGTGCAACCCAGACAGATAACTCCGGGAATAAAGTTGTTAAAAGAGCTCCATCTTCAAAGCCACCTTTCACGCTTTCCGATATAAAAAAAGCTATTCCACCACACTGTTTCAATCGATCCCTACTCCGATCTTCATCTTACCTTTTCGTTGATCTCTTTTTCTCCTTCTTCTTTTACTACGTTGCCTCCACCTACATCATCCACCTTCCAACCCCTCTTTCTTATGTAGCGTGGGTCGTTTACTGGATCCTTCAAGGTAGTGTCCAGATGGGTTTGTGGGTCATTGGCCATGAATGTGGTCATCAAGCGTTTAGTGATTACACATGGTTAAATGACACCATCGGTTATTTTCTACACACTAGTCTACTTGCTCCTTATTTCTCTTGGAAATACAGTCATCGTCGTCATCATTCTAACACTGCTTCACTTGAGCACGATGAATCTTTTGTCCCAAAAAAGAAGTCGAGCTTAAATTCTTTTGCAAGACTACTCAACACTCCACCTGGTCGTCTCTTTAGGCTCGTGATTTTATGCACTGTAGGTTGGCTCTTGTACGTTTGTTTCAATGTTTCTGGACGAAAGTATGAGAAATTTGCCAACCATTTCGACCCAAAAAGTCCTATTTACAGTGATCGTGAACGACTCCAAATACTCGTCACAGATATTGGACTTGTTGTAGTAAGTTTTGGCCTCTACAAAGTGGCCTTAGCACAAGGGTTGACATGGTTAGTGTTGGTTTACTTTGCTCCTTTGGTTATCGTGTATGGATTCCTCGTTGTCATCACTTTGGTTGCATCACACTCACGCATCACTTCCCCATTACGACTCCACTGAGTGGAACTGGTTGAGGGGAGCTTTGTCGACCATTGATAGGGATTATGGTGTTTTGAACACAGTTCTTCACCATATCACGGATACACATGTCACCCACCATATGTTCAGTACTATTCCTCATTATAATGCCATGGAGGCCACAAATGCAATCAAGCCCATGTTAGGGGAATACTATCAGTATGACGACACCCCTATAGTTAAAGCAATGTGGAGAGAAGCTACCGAGTGTTTCTTTTGTTGAGGCTGATGCAGGTGACGACAACAGCAAAGGTGTTTATTGGTTCAACAATAAGATGTAATTTTCTTACGTTAATTCTGGCTAATTCCTACTACATTCGCACTAAGCTTTTAAAATGTATTCCTTACGCCAATAGCGTTAGTGTAGATTTGAAGTTCAAACGTTGCAAAGTATTTATGAATAAAAGTACGTCTACTTTAAAATTACAGTTTCCATTATTGAACTTATAACGATAAGAAGTTTTTAACGACTATTAACATCTATATAATACCTTTTTAGATCTATTTTCTTTGAAACTTTAACTTACAACCGTTATTATTTATTTATATCTAAATTCCTTTATATATTAAATACATAAATTCTTTGAACGAGTCGTTATAGTTTTGGATAGTTTATTTTTCTTTAATTTTTTTTTGTTAAAATGCATGTATAGCCCAAAAAGGACGGCATTTAAAATCAAGTCAAAGTTTAATTGTTCAAGTTGCTAAAAGCATCTACAATGGTGAGTTCAATGGAAGAGTTGAATGTGGTGACAAGTTCATGTGTCATTCAATGGATAAAACTCTACCATTATCAGATGTCACATTGGCATTCAATGGATTTGGGGTTCAATGGTCATTGAACTCTTCAATGGAAAAAATGAAAGTTTTAATTCTTAAATATATACTATAAATTACATCATATAACATTCTATTAAACTTTGTAGAGTTTAATGCATTGTAGAGAAAAATATATAAAGTTGTATAGATTGTAGAATGATGATGTGGCAATACATTGAACTCTATGGAGTTCAATGCATTGTAGATGCCCTAAGAGTAGAAGGTATGAGACATATGGAACATCATCAACGCTGTTAAGATACATCAACACCATCCCCTTTTTTTGTATCTAGTTGTGTTCTTCTTGTTGTGGTCAAGACTAGATGAAACGTGATTTTCTATTGGTTGCACAAATTCACTCTCTCTATCTCTCTCCTCTTAACTTAGTGTTATAACACCATAAACATCATCACCTTTTCTTGTTGCTTTTTGTTATAATATCACTTCAAGTTGCCCATACCATATGTTCTAAGCGTTATTTGGCTAGTCCAAGAACAACTATTTATTGACATTATATTATGTGGAAAAAATTTTAAAAAGTAAAGATGCTAAAAAAAATCATGTTTTGTTGAAAATATTGGAATTGAAAAGTTTGATCCT